TCACTTCTAACACCTGCTACTTATGTTCTGGAGCTGGACAGGAATCTAGAGATCACCTGTTTTTTGAGTGCTTTTATTCAAGTAGAGTTTGGAATTCTATCATGGATTGGTTGAAGTTCAATTGGAAATCTTGCCTATGGAGATACATTTTGGATTGGTACTCTAAAAGGTTGAAGGGAAGGGGATTCAAGCAAAAAATAAAGAGGATGGCATTAACAGCTACAATCTATTGCATTTGGAGAGAACGAAATGACAGGTTGTTCAACCAGAAAAGTAAAAATCCTGTCAGCTTGGCGAATGAAATCAAGTTTGAAATGTTAACTGTAGTGCTTAACAGTCCATTATCTGCTTACTGGGAAGATTTATATTGTTGAAATCTGGGTTGGTATGCTCCCGGATCCTCTTTTGTTTTCTCAGTTGATATGCTGAGTTATAAGGTGTACTTAACTCTCTCATTTTGGTGATGAAATAAAAATCTTTCACTGACCAAAAAAAAAAATTGAAACCTAAGTTGCATGGGTTCGGGTATTGAATATGGGTGTGAGTATAGGTACGGGTGTGAGACATAGCAAATTTGTAAAAGGTAGGGTATGGGGATGTGGCTACAATTATCTATGCTATCTACATTTCTATGCATTAAAATTAATAATTTACATAAGATCAATATTTTTGTTTCATTTACATATGATCAATATATTAGAAATAGATGTGAAGTGTAGAATATGCATCCAAGAAGTGCATGTGGAGTATTTTAAATTAAAACATGTAGCATATAATTGAGTATACGCTTGACCAAATGTATGCATATATCCAAGACGTGCCCAAGAAGTTTGGATAGGGTACATGTACTTGTCAGGTACGGGTACGCCTTCCAAATAGAAGTACTCGGGTAACATAGGCTTCAACAAGCCCAAAAAACAAAAATCATACTTTGAATAACATTTTAAATAACTCTTACTAATTTATGATTTATAAAAAAATGTAAAAAATGTAAAACAAGCTTTCAAGATAATCTAATAAATTGAAAAAATATCTAAAATATAAAAACATATTTAAAATATGAAAAATTCAAAATCTTTCAAAAAAGTATGAAGATTTTAAACACAACAAAAATTTATAAAAATTACAAAATGATCCAGAAGTTCTAAGCTTTGAAAAAAATTGTGTGGTTTATTTTAATTTTTGAGGAATGTATCTTTAGAAGTATTAGAAAATGTCTAAGAATATAATTTTAGAAATAAAAGTTTCCTTTAAGAAAAGAAACAATAATTTGAAGAATACAAAAAAAATTGGGGTCTTTGGATATTAGTCCCTTAAATCTGTCATATTTTGAAATTAGTCCCTCAAGAAGTTAGTATTAGGTTCCTCAATTCTCATAAGTTAGCTCAAATTAATCACTCTAATTGCTGATTCTGCCATTGGTTGGAGGGACTATTTTTAAGATAACTTAAGAACTAAGGAACCTATTGGCAATTCCAATGATTGAGGATTAATTTCTAAATAACTTAAGAATTAGGAGAACTAGGTATTTTCAATGATTTGAGGGAGTAATTTCAAAACATGAAGGATTTTTGGGACAAATATTGGAAACAATTTATGTGAAGTAATGATGATGTAGAGTGGAGGTGATCAACTCTGATCGGATCTGATATGTGAACTTCTGATTCAAAAATTCATTGGAGAACTTGATGAGCGAAAGGTGGGTGAATAGCTCCATATCAGTACCATCTAACGTCAATGTTTTTATTAAAAATAACTAAAAGAATTATGTAAATAAATTAGAGGTTCAGATTTACATGCAACACAATCGTTTGTGACTTCACACCTGCTTGCTTCATACCTGACACGTCACATGCTTGCTAGAGACAATGGCTTCATGCCTAGAAGGATTCACTCTCATTTCTCTAATTCCTACTTTATTCATATCAAATCCTATCTCCTAAAATGGAAAGTGGGAATAAATTCCTAATCCTACCTAATAAATATCATCAAGTAACAATTCCTAATAAAAGAAAAACATAACAAACTTAACAAGTAAATAATAGCTACAATCGAACCAAATATCTCAACAGAAGAAAAATCAAAATTGAAAAAGTCAAAGTTGTAGACTTTTAAAATTTATGGAAATTTTACATCTGTAATTGCATACAATTACAGCTGCAACAACCCATTTGAATGCGAGTGACCAACTACAATGGCAGACTACAAACACCCTACTGTATTGCACAAAACTATCCCTTGGTATTATCCCTCCAGATGAGCTATAATGGTATCAATTGTGTACTAATGCAAGATAATGGTTTTGAATTTCTGTTCAAAACCTTTTAGCGTATCTACTTGCTCCTTTATCCTGTCTTGGGAGCATCACAACATCTGTTACTATTAGGGGCTGTTTGGTTGGTTTCCTAAAAACCAAGAATAGGAAATGGGAGCATGGAAATCTCCCATTTCGTTTGGTTGGTTTCCTAAAAACCAAGAATAGGAAATGGGAGCATGGAAATCTCCCATTTCCTATTTTCAACCATTTCCATCTAGGAAATGGGAGCATGGAAATCTCCCATTTCCTATTTTCAACCATTTCCATCCCTAAAACTTACCCCAATATTCAATAAAATATTATTTTATCATCTAACTCATCTAATAACATATTATTTTATCATCCAACTCATCCAATAAAATATTACTTTTATCATCCAACATCTAATAAAATATTATTTTTATCATCACATCATCCAACTCATCCCATCTCATATTTAAAAATCAATCAAATCATCCAATAATATGGTGACAACTCATCTCATCTCCTTAAACTTTCATCTCCACCCATTTCCTTCAAAAAAACAAGGAAATTGATTTCCTTAAGTGTGGGTCACATCATCCAATAATATAATGACAACTCATCTCATCTCATCCATTTTCTTATTTTTAAGAATGAACCAAACACAAGAAAAGAACCTATTATAGGAAATAGGTTTCTTATAATACATTTCCTTATTTTTTTAGCCAACCAAACAACCTCAAAACAAGTTTTCTTAAAAAATCACTCACATCATCCAATAATATGACGACAACTCATCTCATCACATCTCCTATTCTTTAATTTTCTTCTTTTTTTTCCAACCAAACAACCTCAAAATAAAATTTCTAAGAAATAGGTTTCCTATTCTTTGATTTCCCTCTTTTTTTAGACAAACAAACAGCCCCTTATTTAAGAAAATATACTTTTCGGTGTTCTACCACTATGTTAGTCACCCTTTAATAAATTTCCAAACATATCCTAAAATTATATGCACAACTTCCAATAATTTGCAACTTAGTAGTGGCACAAGTTTGGGGTAAAAACAAATTAGAGTCTAATTCATAACTATCCCCACTCTTTCATAAGGCTTAATTCACTTAAATACCCTATAATTCTCCTGTGTGGCACTTATATACCCTCACTTGTTTTTGACAGTACTTGTGTACCCTAAAGTTTGTAAAACTTGTATTTATATACCCTCACATATTGTTGGCAACAATTATATACCCTAAATTTTTTAAAACTTGCACTTAAATACCCTCATGTTTGCATAACATGAGGGTATTTAAGTGTAAGTTTTAAAAACTTTAGGGTATTTAAGTGCATGTTCTAAAAACTTTTGGGTATTAAGGCACAAGTTTTAAACTTTATGGTTTATAAGATTATAAGTGCTACCAAAGAAAGTGAGGCATGCAGGTTTTAAAAACTTTTGGGTATATAAGATTATAAGTGCTACCTAAAAAATTGAGGGCATATAAGTGCAAGTTTTAATAACTTTGGGTATATAATTGCTGCCAAAAAAAAGTGGGGGTATATAATTGCAAAGTAGGGAAAACTATGGGATATGTAAGTGCAATTAAGCCATTTCATAAATAGAAAGTCACCCACTTTTTCATAACTACCTCTACTTTTCAAGTTCACATGCCCTTTACTCTTGTATTAATTTTTGCAACTATTTTTTTAAACATATATTTTAATATAAAGGCATATATCATGTCATGTAGGAATCGGGTGGTCTACATGATGATAATATACTCTGAATTACGTTGCTATTTTTTTCCTGGCATAAGTCTTTATTGTATGCTTACTAATATTATAGTTTTATTACGACTCTTGAGAGGATGACAATAGAATCCATTAGAGGAGGAAAATCTCTTGGTCCTACTGTTACAATGTTCTCCTTACAGATCCTGGCTATCAATTTATATCACCTATTCAGCTTCTCATACATTGTTCCATAAATTTGGTAACATCTCTTTCTTACGGCCATCGCTTGGGCATAAAGTGCTATATGATTCATTATGCTGTAGAAAAGAATTTATCAAAACTGATAAAATCGCGCAATTTTTTCTGCTCAACAACAGACTAACATGTATTCTATAAGAATGAGTCTCATTTCTGTGTTAATATCATCATGTCCTTTTCTCGGCAATAGCGTAAGTGAAATATCCATCTTTTAGATTATTATTGTATACTTGAAGTTCTTATTCACAAAGCCAACCTTTAAATTTCTTGTAATCATCTTATTGAAGGACACAATTTTAATTATTTATCTTCTCATAGATGTGATGATCCACATACGACCGAACTTTTGAACATGCATATGTTTCTATGTGGTGTTTATTCAAGACTAGTACTATGTCAACTTTTTGAACGAAATCTCTTATGTTTGTATACATTTCCTAGATAAGTAAAGATTAGCTTACAGCTGCCTAATCAGGACAAATTTCATTCCCCATCTTCTTGGATCTGCAATACCTAACCCTAACTGCTTGCATAATTTAGTTTGTCTTTGCTATTCCTTTACTACTAAATCAATTTATTTCTCATCCTTTTCTTTATGTCGATTGGCTCCTATACACCTTTGAAAGTCAGTTACATTCTAGAAATATTTTTCTTGCTCGGGTGATATAGGCATTTTCCTTTACTTTAGAGTGCTTACTTTTTTTTTTCTTTTTCTTTTTTTTTCAATGAGTTGTAGACTTTCAGCTGATTTATCAAAAGCAGATAAGGTTCTGGTTGTGGAAAGGGTTATCGAATCTTTAGGACTACAAGCAATACGAGATTCTTTGGTTGGGACAGTTGAGAAGCGTGGAATTTCAGGTGGACAAAGAAAGCGTGTAAATGTTGGTTTGGAAATGGTTATGGAACCCTCCTTGTTGATACTAGATGAACCTACCTCTGGTTTGGATAGTTCTTCATCTCAGTTGCTTCTAAGAGCTCTTAGGCGTGAAGCACTAGAAGGGGTAAACATCTGTGCAGTGGTTCACCAACCCAGGTTGTTTTTATATTCATGAGAGTTGTTACTTTCTAAAATATTTATTTACTTGTTCTAACCTTTTTCTCTTCTTCAGTATCTTTTATGGTAAAATTCTTTTTATTGGTAACAAGTAATCATTTATAATGTGCACAGCATGAAAACCTTGGTTTAGTGGATAGAAAACTTGCTTGTAAAATTCACCTTATTGCCTTTTGGAATTGGAGTTGTAGAGTTCTACACCTATTCATTTCGAACAAAGGACTCAATAAATAAACAAATGGAGAATATTGTGATATTACATAGTACAATTGAATTAATTTGATGACATTTTACTGATGTCACCATCTTTACAATATAATTAGAATAAAGTTTGCTACCATTGACATCTCGTAGGGTTATTATTTATGATATTTTGATCGTTACTATCTTCTTTGGTGATGTGGTCTACTTACATCTTGGATTGTTTGCTGTGACATAAACTTTCTAGTCATTTTTGTTTTTGATAGTTCGGATACTATTTAAAAATATTCCAGACCTTATCCACCCAAACTATTTTTAGGAGAGACTAAGTAATCTCGGGGACGTGGAGGTGGTGCGGGGGTCTAAGTTTACCTCTCCACCCATCTTTATAGTGTAAATATTAATTATCTGGAGGGGACTATGATTTTTGGACAAAATTGCCACAACTTTTTTTCATTTTTTCCGCTAAGTTTTAATTTATTGATCTTTTTTCCACGAATTACAAGAGCACACCCTTAAAAAACTAAAATTTACAAACTTGTCCTAAGAATCTATAATTAACAAAACAACTCCAAATCTTAAGTTTACAACCCCTTAAAAACCTAAAAAGTGCAAAATAGTCTTGAAATTCTGTGAATACAAATGCAACAATAAAAATCAGAAATTACAAACTCGCCCCCAAAAATGTGAAAATTACAAAAGCTCCCTTGAAAAATCTGAATATTCTAAAAAGTACAAATCAGTCTTGATATTCTGTAAGTTACCAAAACAACAGCTAAAAATTGAAAATTACAAACTCGCCCCTAAAAATATGAAAATTAGAAAAAATCCCTTAAAAATCTAAATATTGCAAATTAGTCTTAGAAAAATCCAAAAATTTCAAAAGTCAACTAAAAGATTGGAAAATTACAAAACTAGCCAAAAGAAATCCAAAAGTTACAAAAGTTACCCCTTAAATATGTAAAAGCTGCAAATGAGTCTTAAAAATTCAAAATTACAAAAAAGACCCTAAAAAAATTTGAAAATCAAAATGAAACCCTTGGAATCTTAAAATTGCAAATAAATTCTTAAAATCTAGAAATTTTAAAAAACAACCTTTTGAAGATTTTAATTTTCATAACATAGCCTTCTGAGAAACTGAATTTTTCATAATTGATTCATTAAAAAAAGAAAAAATTATAGAATGGCTTGTTCAATGTGTACAAATAACATAAAGATCAAATTCAAAATTCAATCATGGTAATGAATGTCCACAAATAAAACTTTAAAACCAATCTCATCAACATCAACATCCTCTGTAAAATATGATGCGAAATCTGCAGGCCGATAAGTTATTAAGTTGGAAATTAATGCACCACACAAAGTTCAATCGTGGATAGTTTTCTAAGTGGTTATACAGACGACAATGTTTTATCTAAATAGGTATATAGGCCACCTATTCAATAAAAAACTAAACAAGCAAGCGGGGCGTGAACCTTTAGCAAATGTTATGGGCCGTAATGGGCAAATGGGGGTAAATGTGGCGATCCATACCCACTCCGTTTAATATCCTTATTAAGTGGTATGTCCATTTCCTAGACAAGGGCATATGTCTAGGCTACGTTTGGTTTGTGCTAAAGTGAAAGAAAAGAAAAGGAAAAGGAAAAAGGAAAAGAAAGAGAAAGGAAAAAGAAATGAAATCAGCTTCTTTTTGATGTTCGGTTAGGAAGAAAGTTGTGAAGAGAAACTTGAAGGAAAGTAATACTAGTTCAAACAAGATGATGCACAAAATCCAATTAACTTATACTATATAATAAATTTTATTAGTATATTATATTAAAAATGTTCTATAATTTTAAAAAATTTCGTTATGTGGATAGGATGTAAATATGGTGCAAATGTTGCTAGCCTTGTTGGGAAAAGATCTTATAGAGAGCATTTATAAAGAACCGAGGAAGAAAAAGAAGATATTCATTTCACTATCAATTTTAAATCAGTGGTAATGATACTAAAAATTAGTATCGACAAAACGCTAGTGAGTACAAGCAAAAAAAAGTCGTTACAAAGAAAGTACTGAATCAATAGAAATAGTACATAAATAATTACGACTTTAAATATGTTTTCATATGTTTTAAATTCTCAATCCATTTTTATATAATATTTTATAAAGAGAACTATAAAAGGGAGCTCTCTAGATGATTTATTTTTATTATGTGTATGTGTACCAATTAAGCCTACATATATGGCTGTTACATATTTTCATTAATCCTAGTTTGGCTTAATATGAACCAAGACGTGAGGGCCTTTGAATCCATTGTCTTTAATCCTAATGGGGCCCACACACAACAAGGTAAAATGAAGAATGAATAATGCTGGGCAAATATCTAATTGGGATCATGTGGTGGTCAACCCTGACTTTTTTTCATCAGCTTTCATTATGTCCAGCGAAAGAAAAGGGGAATGGAAATTTATGAGACTGTTTTTTCTTCAATGATTTTGCTTTTCATTTTCTTTTCATATTTCCTTCTAACCAAACAATAGAAATGTATTTTCTTTCTTATTTTCTTTTCTTTTGCTTCATTTCTATTCAAATCAAGCACAACCCTACTTTTGTTTTTTTTTTCCAATATATGCATTAATACAATATTAGTTGAATGGAGGGAAGAACTATTATTTTGGTTATGATATTAGTCCCAACTATCATATTTCTTTATAAAAATAAACACTTGTATGGACTATTTAAGTTACTTCGAATGTTAGTCTGTGTGGAAACAAACATTGGAGTTGATTAAAATAGTCACATGATAACACAATGTCAGTAATTATTCCTCGATTACATGAGGATAAAAAAATGCTGCAATTTTTTGACAAAAGCATCCTCCTATTGGGTTAGAGGGGCTCCTAGTTGGGGATCAGATCATATATGAAAATAAGTACACGAAGGGGCCTCCCTTGGAGTGCACGACTCATGCATATGTAATATAGTCAACAAACAGAACGTGGAACGAAAAACACCCCCGATTGGTACCATATGAAGCCAAATCAAGAGAAGCTTATAGCCCTGGCACTCTTGAAGATATGAAAGGAAAAAGCACATCAATTTCCTCTACTACACATATGTCCTCTATCATCAAGAAAAATAATCTTTTTGACAGTAGGAGGCAACTCAAATATGTTGAAGTGAAGGGAATCTAGGTTGTGACATTTTCTGGCCAAACAGTCAGTAACAAACGTTGCCTTAGAGTTGAAATTTGAATATAGCTCTTAAGTGTGAAAGCTACCATCTTTCCATATATTTTGGACTCTCTGTTAATTCAGAACTTTATAGGGCAGCTTCTTTGGCATGAACTTAAATCATATGTACAATTATTCACTTATAGGTTTCAGTACCCATTCCCACTCTGCTGCGCCGTCCATACCCTTCTGTAGGACGAGAGGTCACTTGTTCATATTGTGTCTACTAACAGATTTGACACCAGACTAAGGGGATGTCACCTTTACACAACTAGTAGCACAACATGGCCAATATAACTAGAAACCCATTCTATGGCCAACCTTAATTTGATTAGAAAATCTAAATGGTGGCGTTGATGGCAGTGATGGTGATTTACATAATTATGCAGAAACATTTCTTAACGATGGAACACAAAAAGTTTCACAATTCCGGTATTTTATTAGAATAATAATTTTCCCTAATTTTGGTATGCTTATGCTTCTTGAACTTTAGCTGGAAAAAGTAAACAGTGATGCCATCTCTCTCTCTCTCTCATGCACACACAAACGCGCACACATTCCTTACTGTAAATCATTTTTGCTTGGGTCCTTATATTTCATAATCTAGCTTAATTTTTTTCTAGGCTTAGGGAAACAAAGGACCAATTAGATCTACGTTTGTTTGTTGTATACACATAAAACAAGTAACAACTTTGTGCATGCCTACTGTTAGTAACAACAATATGGATGACAGGATGATGTAACACATGCATGTTGTCCATCTAATGAAAAATATAGTACAATAACCGATAAAAAATTTGAAATTCTTATGGAAAATTCTCATCTCTTTCTATCCAAAGGCTGTTACAAGAATTTATATGAAACAAATGTTACACTATTGCTTAGATGGAAATATGATTATTATATCTGAACTGTATGTGGACCTTGTGCCAACCTCTCCTGGCACTAATCTTAAAATAATTTTTATCTTCAGCTATGCTTTATTCAAGATGTTTGATGATTTGATACTTCTAGCAAAAGGAGGTATAACCGTGTACCATGGTTCGGTGAAGAAAGTTGAGGAATACTTCGCTGGCCTAGGGATCAATGTTCCTGAGCGTGTAAATCCTCCAGATTACTTCATCGACATCTTAGAAGGAATAACAAAGCCACCAGGTATAAATGTTAAACAACTGCCCCTCAAATGGATGACACATAATGGGTATGAGATACCCCAGGACATGTTTGAACTTGCACGTTCAGATGATACATTAGAAAGTGTTGGCGAAGGATCCACATCCGGTGGTCTGGCTGATGACCCATCTATTTCTAGTGGAGAATTGGGCGATATCAAAGTTGTCAATGAGCTGCCAAGAGATGATAATTTAGAGCGAAGTTTCTCTAAAGCTAGTGATTTATCCAACCGTAGAACACCTGGCGTTCTTCGGCAATACAGATACTTTCTAGGAAGGTAATTTGTTTGCTCTTGTTCTCATCTACACATATTTTTTGAATCATATTGATGAGCTTTAGAACTAGTTTTGGTATTTTTTTTAATCTATAGAGTTCCCATTTTTTATCTCAGAGTTGGTAAACAGCGACTACGAGAAGCTAGAATACAAGGAGTTGATTATCTCATATTGGGGCTTGCTGGAGTCTGTTTAGGGACACTTGCTAAAATGACTGATGAAACATTTGGTGCTCTTGGTTACACATACACCGTCATTGCTGTTTGTAAGTAAACTATTATGTTAGGGATTTCTGTTCCTGCCTTCTTTTCTCTCCTTTTTAGGCTATTAGTTATTATAATGGATTAATATTGTCATTATTAGCACGTGGTATTCTCTTCCAGATTCATAAAAAACTTAAGCCTAGAACACTGAATGAAACATGCATGGTTTTGAAGATTCGTCACATAAAAATTCTTTGATTATGCTTGAATTTTTTTGACATGGTGACACTTTTGTATGTTTATTCTTTAGAGGTTCTTTCTCAAATATTGAAATAGTTTGTGACATTTATGAATTATTCCATTCATAACAATTACCCTAGTGATGACATTCATAAAATACATGACAATAGGAGGAGCAGCAGCAACAATTTTGAAGGTTGGCTAACTTATACGAGACATTGTTTCTGAAAAGCTTAAGAGACAATGGCTATATTATTTATTGAAGACGACAAGTCACATGAACCAAATGAAAGACATTCTATTTGTGTATGTCTAAATATATTTCTTTTGTTATTAAGGTAATTTGCATTTATCTTAGAGATGCTCTCATTCAATTTCTCAAGATTAGATGGCAGTTCCTGCATGCGTCAGCCTGGCTGATACACTGGGTCTTTGTTAGTAACCTCAGCACAAGGTTTAAACAATTTGATGAAAGTCTACTGTAGGCTGTAATTTGAATGGCTGACTCTTGGAAATTTCAGACTTACACAGAAGAGGTGCAACACAGCTAGGTACATGAGTAATAGTTAGTAACTGCTTGCTTCTTGAAGGGAAAATACAGCAACCAGAACATGAACAAAACCCTTATACGACACCTTCCTGAAGGGAAAACTGCATACATAAAATTATATGGCACGACAAATTCACATAGAAAATTATTGAGACGGTTTATAGTAGCAAAAAGACAAAATGATACTTTAACCAAGTTATCTTCCCGGTAAGATGTATTTGAATTATTCTGATTTAAAATTAAATTCCATTATGATGAGAATGGAAAAGGCATTTGAAGTTTCTGATGTCGTTAATGAACTTTCACTTTTAGAACTACTTACTTTTTGCAAACCATTTCTTATTCATATAATCGTAACATTTAATCTGCATGGTTGCTGTCACCATAATATGCATCTGAAGTTTCCTTTGCATCATAATCTCTGCAGTTGTCTAACCAATGGACAGAGAACCCAAAGGGTGAAAGCAACTATTTCCTATGTTGCTCTCTCTGCTTTAATCTTATCCTTCCAATCTCAAATACATACTATGATACCATCTCATAGTATAGTAGTCACTGATGTAAACTACTGTTTTTCCACAATATTCTTTTACTTAACTTCTACAAGTGGTACTGGAGGCCATGCTTCAGTATTGGTTCCCATCTGAGTATCTGTTCTCTGTTTTGATATGATGAGCAATGAGTCACGTGCCCAGAAAATATGTAGAAAGACTACTCATGCTATGTGCAAGAGATATTTGTGGCTGAAATAATCTTCCTTGGTAGACATAAAAGAACCTTATAAGTTGAAATAACAGACTAATTTTACCGATTCATAAAGGTAATAAAAGAGACTAGTATGCCCATAGTCCATGTGCTAGGATGCACAAGAGAGCACTTTGTCTTGAATACACACAAAATAAGATGGAGTTTATTTGCTTACGTCTCAATTATAGTCAAATGTGGAAAGTTCCATTTATGATGAATCAGCGAGTTTGTTCAAAAGAATAGGTCATAAGTCATAACTAATCCCTCATCAGGTAGAGAGGTATTCAAAGTTACTATCTTGGATTTGTATGGCTCTTAGCTTTATTGGCACATTGAGGTTGTTGAAATGAATGAAAGAGAGAATTTTTATATTTCTCATTCATTATAAAGAACACGGTAATACCTTATATAACTTGTTGAATATCCATAAAAGAAAGACTCTAATAAGTAAAATATACTATATATAACTTATACATTGAATCTAGACACATCCACTAAATGCAATGAACCATAAAATATCATCTAATAGGAATGAAGGGGTATAGCTTTCAGTCGATGCTGGATCTTATAACTCACTAAGACACCTCGGTATTCTTTAGCTCCTTGTATGTTGTACTTTTACCCTCAGCATATTGGTGTTTCATGTTTCATTTAAGAAGTGTTTTTGTTTGATTGTATAATGAATACACAAATTTATAGTGTGTCACATTTTTCTGAATACCAAATGGGTTCGCATGCAAAAGGTGCAAAGATGGAAGTTAGTCCGTTCTAAGTTCGAGAGGAAGAAGAATATGGATAGTTAAAATTATTGGTTAGCTGAAGACACGAGTGTACTCATTTTGGTCATAGTGGACACCGAAGCCAGTTAAGGCAAACAACCACCCTTATTAGCCTTTTTGTCATCATCATCTTCATCATCAGGGCCTTTTCCCATTCACCATCTGAAAAGGCTCCATGATTGACGAAATGCTTCCGAGTTGGCCTTTCTTTCAATTAGTGTCAATTTTTTTCCAAGTGTACAAGAGAAAGCTACAGATAGTTTTCAAATATTAATTGCTATCCTCCAAGTTCTTCTTGGCAAAGAAAAAGGTCTAGAATAAGAAAGATGGTCAATTCTCTACCATGGCTATTCGTTCACCCTTTCTTGAACCATCCTTCCATACAAGAAGAAGACGATGTTTTAAAAAGCCCCCGCCTAGCCCGCCTAGGTGGGCCTAGGTGGTACCTAGGCTGCTTGCCTAGCCCCTAGTGCCTAGGTAGTAACTAGGTTACTTACCTAGGTTTTAGGAGCGCCTAGGGGAATGTGTTCTGCTTCTGTGGACTGAATTCTTTAGGTCTTGATCGTTATTTTCTCCTTTGTAGCCTCCCGTCCTCCAAACTCCTCCATCTTCCAACTATGGACTCCTCTACCTCCTCCGACCTGTAGCAAAACCTCCTCCGTCACCATTTTAACAAAGAAAGAAATCTGCTTAAACAGTAGTTTAGGGCCTAAACTTTATGAAAATTAGCATTTACTATCAATTATTGTAATTATAAAGTATAAAAATAGGAAAACCATCTAGGCTCCACCTAGGGGCCTAACGCATTTTGTAACCTTGGAAAAAGGCATGAGTCTTTTTATAGTAAATCTAGAAAACTTAAGCCCTAGGAATGATTTCTTAAAATCTGGAGGATATGATATCTCAATCAACCTCAAACGTTGCTTTGAGGGTGCTTGTTTGCATGCAGGTAAAAGATGAAAGTGAGAAAGTGACTTGCTTTTAGCATTTTAGGTGTTTATTTGCTTGCAAGTGGTTATGAAAGTGAAATGCAAGAAAGTTGCCATATAAGTTTTTTGCAATTTTGACATCCCCTTAAAAAATAGTGAAGTCACATGAAAGTGACAAAAAATAGTAGTCAATTTTAATTAAATGATTTTAACTATATTTAGTAATTAATCATGTTTTCCCATATCATCTTCACATTGCACATTCAATAATAATTTCATATTTTAAACAAACATTGTATTTCACTTATATGCTAATGTGAATGTGAAAGTCATTTAAAAAAAAAACTTACATATTTTCAATTTACTTCAAGTTGCCCAATATCCCCTTAGGCTTACGAAATCTAAAAAATTGAACTAGAAAATATCCTACCTTGTCTAAAAACTAATCAAATCTAAATAAATTCTAGTAAATCAAAGTATCTAATCCTAATTGTATCCTCCATGATCTTTGGATGTGCTGCAGTAACACCTCGGTTGCTACAATAGATTTGGAATCCGTCCAGCATTACAGACACAAGGTGATAAATTATACATAGTCCCATTCACCTCAGATACACAACAAAATTCAAAGATCCAATCAGAACCACTTTTCCTTCCGTTGCTTATTACAGCTAGTGACGTTGACAGAAATTAAAGCTCGGAAGGGCACACTTATTTCTTCTCCTGAATCAATTATTTCAATCATCACCTTCGGTTAATATTAATAATTTTTTGAGAGAAAGGATAGGGTCACAAAGTTGAAAACCGCAACCGAATATTATACATGAAATGTATATTTACAAAGAAAGGAAGGTTGTTTTATATTAGTCTCTTAAATCTTGTAGGTGTTTGAAATTAGTCCTCCGAATCTTCATATTTTTATATCAGTCCCTCAAATCTTGTAACTCTTTTGAAATTACTCCCTCAAATCTTCATACTTTGCAATTAGATCCCCCAATATTGCAAGTATTATGATATTATTATTAGTCCCCCCAAAATTGTAAGTATAAGTGTCCCAAATTGTCATATTTTGAAATAGGCTGTGAGTTTTTCCCCATCGATGAAGCATTAGTGTTCCTTTGTCAATAGCATACAAAATTGTCATACATTACTTTCAAGGGGGAGAAAGACAGAACTGTGTTGAGTCTCTTGTTTCCTATATGCACCATGTTTTCTAGATTGAAAACGTGTTTTTTTGTTTCACAGCTCTCTTATGCAAAATTGGAGCGCTTAAATCATTTCAACTTGAAAAGTTAGAATATTTGAGAGAGAGAGCATCAGGCATGAGTTCAGCTGCTTACTTTCTTGCGAGAGACACTGTTGATCATTTCAATACAATCATCAAGCCAATAGTATATCTTTCAATGTTTTATTTCTTCAACAATCCGAGGTCGTCAATTCAAGACAACTATATTATTTTGGTCGCACTTGTGTACTGCGTGACTGGTATTGGTTATACTTTTGCTATATCCTTCCAACCAAGCTCAGCCCAGCTGGTATGTGCATTGAATAATAAGAGAATTCCTTTAACCAAATTGAACTAAAAAGGACTTTCTGTTCTAATTATATGAGAATTCTTGATCTACAGTGGTCTGCACTTCTACCCGTCATCTTAACTTTGATAGCAACTCAGACAAATAATGCAGAATGGATGAAGAACCTATGCTACACAAAGTGGGCATTGGAAGCATTTGTGCTTTCAAATGCAGAAAGGTACATTTTAAAGTTAATTTCCCATTAGTATTCTTCAATATTTATATCCATAGGTGCCTGAGAATAATATCCTTTTGCGTATGACTGCACACATATACTAACATATATTTACTTGAAAGGGGGGAAAATTATGAAAGTAGCATGATGGTACTGATGAGAAAGAATAAAAAACCTTTCCATTTTATTTACTTAAAACAAGCTTAAAATTGTAAAAACGAGTTGGCTGATCTCTCCTTGCTTCCTCGTGCTAGTTATTCTTAACCATTTACACTCCACCGGTAATGATACATAACTGCAAATTTATTGGCATCCCACCTAGGAATACCTTATGTCAATGCATCAATTAGTGAACCATAAATTTCTTGGAACATAACTTGAAAGTTGACAACTCTGGTTTCTGAAAATCTATGCTCCAAAAACTCGTATTCAAGCGTGCGCATAAACCTGTAATTCTCTTGTGTATTTTCCTGATTCGATGTACCACTCAACATCTTTTGGTACAATATGCCATTAGGGAGTCAGCTTCCACTTTTGAATTCACCACTTGCATGCTGTGTACTTATGGTTGTATGTTAAATGAGCTATGAACAACTATGAATAATATTTCAAGCTATTAAGATTTAGGGGATCTAATATTTCAGCAGAAAATATGAAAACAAACAAGTATTTTTAAAGTGGGGAAATATTGATGTAGTTTTAGCGACAATCTGATGGTGTAATCTTGTTGCAGGTACTCTGGTGTATGGCTTGTAACGCGATGTGGTTCTCTAAAGCAAAATGTTTATGAGATTGACGATTGGTGGCTTTCCATAGGAATCCTCATTCTCTATGGCGTAACTTTCCGCTTGATTGCATACATATGTATGGTGACCCTCCTAAGGAAGTGAGGCCCTAGAGATTTTTGTCCTCTTTTATTCTCCCTCTTAGCTTCATTTTTGTGTATATCAGTTCGAAATCAGTTTTATTTGCTTGTATGTAGTAGTGTATATCAATTAGATTAAAATTTTCATTATATGGAATGGAGAGGATGTAGGCATTACTGTAGCTTGTATTATCATCAGATGGGCATTGTTGTAGTTCATGGTTAGTAAGGTCATCTGGATTTTGCTGACTAAGACGGCGCAGAAAAACAAACAAGGTTTTTTTTAAGGGGGGAAAGTGGGGAGGAGCTTCGCAATGTGATGTTGCTTAAACAAGTATAATAGGTGTTTTAATAGAAAACTCGCACTCCATTTTAGTTTTTAACAGAACTAAATGCCACAAATTTTCAAAAATAATGTTGGCGAGACATTTATAGTTTTGGAAGTTATATAGTTAAAACATCAAACAGGATCATATGCAGAAAAGGGAAAACCATGGAATTTGACTTTTACATCTATGATATCAGTGTTGGAATCATTATTTTCAGCAGAGTAAAATCATCATTTTTTTTCTCAAATACCCACTTAAATTTGCATGTTTGTTATTTTTCGGACAAATATATGCCCCTAGATAATATAAGAATTACTTAAAAAAAAAAATCATCTAAAGCTATATTTGCACCCAAAACAAAAGATAGAAACTCCAAATTTCAAAAATTCCATTTACGAGGTCCAAATGGCAAAATTACTTGCCAAGAAGTGGGCCCTTTTTCCTGGTCCGGATGTTCTAGGATAGCTACCGAATCCATGGGTTTCGGGTCCAGTTGGAGGATTCCGGACCCGTTAAGAAGCTGATCCGGGTGTTACTGACGAGATCTAGTCAGATATCATTTTTGGGTGTTGGTGTGGCTTTTGGAGAGTTATTATTGAAAGAGCTTTTTTTCGACGGCATGCGAAGATTGAAGATTTTGAAGGAATATGCTCGGCAATAATACAGTTGGTAGTTTTTTTTGGGGGGGAAATTAATTTTTTTTCTTCTTCTTGTTTTTGTTTCTTTAAGTGGTTCTGTTGATACATGGACTGCTTTGGGTGAAAATCGAAATTGAAATCAGGTACCAAATCACCACTATGTCAATACTAAAGCACCATTATATGGCTGAGGAAGTGCAGTGCCTAAGCTTGCACCTTCCCCTGTTTCCATTTTACAAATTATGGTTGGAGATAAGGAGAGAAAAAATAACTTAAAAAAGGTAATTTTGTAGAAATGTACAAAAAAAAATCAGAAAAACTGTAAGAATGTTCCTTTAATTGTAAATCAACTAGCTTTGAACTAGTACTACATTAAAACTGTGGCATATGGAAGCACGATTAAAATTAGAATTTTATACGCCACCTTTTAGTATAATTGTTAACATTGTCAAGAGTTCACATGCTTGCAACATTTTTAACTGCACATTGAATGTTGAACTAAAAACTAAGAGAAGTAACAGTTGCACACGTGCCACTTTAGCACGATGGTGGTGCCTCCTTACCATGTGCAATTTTTGCTGGCGGCAGGCAATTGCCTATTCTCAAAACATAAAACAACAATTGCAATAAAAAAAAAAAAGTCAAGTGGTAACTAACAATCATCAAGTTCAAGCGGACAAGCTTAGAAACACTTATATTAGCACCGGAGACCAAAAATAACTGATAATCAGATAAGGTCGGGCATCCCATGACTCAAACATTCCAATTTTAAAAGGTATTACAGGACTGCAGCCAAAGGTGTTTCCAACACATCCAACGCATGAACACTTTGTAGAAAATGAGGAAGGATTTGAGAAAATCGTGCAAAAACACGAGTACAGGAAATCCCTCGGGTCGGTCGACCGACGGCATAGGCCCGGTCGGTCCGGTCGACCGACATATTGTTGAATTACAGTATTTAAAGCCCGTCTCTGGTCGGTTGACAGAACGGGTATGACCGGTCGACTGAAAACGTGCACATTACAGGGTTCAGAATTCGGGTCTCTGGCCGGCCGACTGAAACAACATGTCTGGTCGACTGACACGTGGTTATGGGCCTGTTTTGTTTTCCTGGTTAGTTTTGGATTGGGTGTTTGATATAAATACAAACACGTTTTTAGAGTTTCTTAAGAAGAGAATTGTGAGTCTTTTGAGCACTTTGAGAGTGAGATATTGTGAGGGAGTTGAGAACTTTGGTTAGAGTTATATTTGAGTGATTTTGTGAGTTATAACCCGTTGTATTTCTCCTCCATATAGTAAAATCTCCCCATCCTCTCCTTATGAACATAGGCAATTGCCGAACCATGTAAATCTTTGTGTTTGGGTTGATTTGTGTTGTATTTTGGTGAATTGCACTCGTATTTGGTTTTTGGTTCTCTTCTCTCATCGCTTACCGACTCGTTTGGTTGTCGAGCATGCTTCCGCATGACGCACAACAATTGGTATTAGTGCTCTAGGGTTTCAGATCTAGTATTTTGCATTGGGTGGAGGAAGATTTGTTGTTTGAAGGTTGGTTCTTGGAGTTCTAGATTTTGGTGGAGATAGCGTTGCGCAGTTGCCATTGGTGTCTTGCTTTCCTTGTGTGGTTAGGAGATCGTGTTGGAATCCTATCTAGAGTTTAGTTGGGTAATTTCTCAATTCTATCAAAGTTTGAATCTGTCTTTACAATTTAGAGTTTGTAAGCATGAGAGAAGAAGTTGGTGAAAGTAACAAGACAATGATGAGTACAGTTTAGGTTGGACTTCAAAATACTTTAGTGTAGTGAAGTATGATGGCAAAATTAATTTTGATTTGTGGATGAGCGACGTACATGACGCTCTCAATGCTCAAATCTTGGAAGAGACATCATGGTCCATGAGAGGCCATCGAAATATGATGAGGCGATATGGGACAAGATGAATATGAACGCTTGTGGGGTGATCAGGTCTTGTTTGGAACAAGAGCTGAAATACGATGTGATTGGTGTGACATCTAAGATGAAGATGTGAGAGATTCTTAGCAACAAATACCTTACGAAGAGTGTTAAGAATCAGTTGCACTTGCTACGGAGATTATTCAGATTCCAGATGTCAAGTGGCACCTCACTTGCGGCTCATGTGAATAACTATACAAAGTTGTCGGACTTGGCAAATATGGATCAGAAGATAACATACGAGTACAAAGCGATTATTTTGTTGGGATCCTTACCCGATGAGGAGTATGATACCTTCGTGCTCACTTTGTTGAATAGTAGATCTTCCATCACCTACAGTGAAGTGACTAATGCATTGACGAATTACGATTTGAGGAGGAAGGAGAAATAGACTTCCTGAGCTAGCACTTAAGGAGATGCCTTATCGACTAGAGGAAGAAGTCCATATCTAAGAGGTAACAATAGAGGCAGATCAAAGTTAAGAGGTCACCACCAATTAGCGAAGAACTAGTATACTTTTTTCCAAGAACAATGACATTGGAAGAGAGATTGCCCGAAGCTCAAAGAGAAGGAGAATAGCAAGAAGAAGGGCCCAAAGGCCAATGAGGTGAACGTCGTTAGAGGTAATGATTTTGATGATTCGTGCTTTTCTCTATTGATTACTCTAGAGGTGAACCATGTAAATTCATCTGATTGGATGCTAGATTCTGGTGCTACTTACCATGTGACTCCCCGACGAGATTGGTTTGCATCGTTCGAGAGACTCGATATGGGCGTGGTAGTCATGGAAAATGATCAATCCTGTGGAATTTGTGGGATAGGTACTGTCAGGATCCGAATGCACGGTGGAGTGGTTCGTGAATTGAATGAAGTGAGATTTGTTCCTTAATTAAAGAAGAATCTTATTTCCGTTGGAGATTTGGAGGCGAAGGAATTAAGGTGATATTTGAGAACGCTGTAGCAAAGGTTACTAAGTGATCTTTGGTGGTGATGAAGGGAGTCTGCAGTAGGAATTTGTATTATCTGAAGGGAAGCACCGGGATTAGCCAGGTAGCTTCGGGTATTTCAGAGGCATACACGAGCAGACTTTGGCACTATAGGTTGAGGCACACAGGTGAAAAGTCACTGCAGGCTTTGTGCAAGTAGGGGCTATTGAAGGGAGCCAATAGTGGAAAGATAGAATTCTGTGAGCACTGCGTTCTTGGCAAGAAGAAAAGGTAAAGTTCAAGACAGCTGTACACAGGACAAAACGCAGAGTTGGGCCTATTTTTGGCTGAAAACGCTGTGTTCGCACAACGTTGTACATCTAAAACGCAGAGTTGGGACACAGAGATGAACTTCACGTTTTGGACCTGAGATGCAGAGTTGGGCTCTACATGAACTCTGCGTTTTGAGTCTACGAACTCTGCGTCTGGACTTGAATGCTGGGGATGGCCTTTGCGTTTTCCACTAGAATGCTGGGCATGACCTTTGCGTTTTTGACTCTGGAACGTGGGCATGATCTTTGCGTTTTGATTTGAAGTGACTGTCAATTTGTAGTCTCTTTTACTAGAGCGTTACAAAGATCGTCATCTTATAATCTTTGTCTTAGCTCCTTAAAAATATGAGAGTCGTCAGATTGTGACTCCCGATGTTGATTGTGAAGGCTGTTGATTAGAGCTTTCATCAATTGTTACAAAGGTCTTCAAATTGTAACCTTCATCGATCTACGTGAAAGTTTTTAAATTGTAGCCTTCTAGAAGCCGTCGAATTATAACTTTCATCATCAGTGTTTGATGGGGATTAACTATCTGTTATGATTTTTAGACAGCCTACAATATCCTCCTAGTAAAAACCTCAAGCACAATCTCATCTCCATTAGCCAGCTATGCGACAAAGGTATGAAAGTCGTTTTCGATGTTAATTGTTGTACTATTATTGAAAACGCTTTAGGTAACATTATTATTACGGCTAATAGGAAAAACAATGTTTATATACTTTCATTTGAATAACTAACTTTGGAAAATGTCTGGTTGGCAGGGAAGAGGAAGCAATCCTGTGGCATAGGAGATTGGCGCATGCAGGCATGAGGTTGCTACAAAAATTGGAAAATAAATAGCTAGTTCGAGGACTCCAGCAACAAACATACATAAACAGTAAGTTGTGCGAGACATGCACGAAAGGTAAGCAAACTAGAGCCTCCTTTTCTGGTCTGCAGTTGTTACTACTAAAAGAGTCTTAGAATTAATTCACATGGACCTTTTTGGACCTACCGAGGTTGCAAGCATAGGAGGAAAGAGATTTTGTTTAGTATTGGTCGAT